CTTCCAGTTGTATAACAAACTAAACGTAGTCAAGTTGAGCTCTGAAGCGGCGTTCAGACTTCGCAAAGATGCGCGAGCGTTCGCGTCTATAACGCACTGCAAAGCGTGTCACAGCGCTCCAATGCTTCAGACCGAAGGCAGCCTTGGATGGGAATCGTCAACGTTGGTCGCTTGTTTTGAGAGAGTGTGGAGGAATAGGAGAGTGCGCGTTGCCTAGTCGCGCTCTGGTATCGATCGGCATTGGCCGCCGATGTATTGAGGGAGTATAGAACAACAGGGGGTTCCAGAGTATGTGAGAGCAGCACCTATCCTCCTGTTGTCCTATAATCTCTCAAGACGCAAGCGGCCAAGGCCATTGATTTCCGCCTGCGGCTGCGTTCGCGCCTGTAGCACTAGAAGGAACTTGCAGTGGCAGCGCGTCGACGCGAAGTCTGAACGCTGCCTTAGAAAATGTCTGTGGTGCTAGCGAAATTGAGAAGGAGCATACGGGCGCGACTACTGTGTTGCGGTGCGTCGTCCGGCGCTGTCCAAGGCTAAGCTGGTTTGGGGGAGGATCACTACCACGATGTGGTGGCGGTACCCCCACGAGCAGACTTTGTCGCGCCACAATGTACCCTCCCCCTCCCCGAACTGCAGTAACTCCGAAATATGATATTTTTTGAATGTGTTCATCTTCACTTTTATAGAGATCGTCTGGCAATCAAAATATCCACTTGAAGTTTTCAAAACACCACGAAATTCTCGAAAGCGTTCTGTAACAACGAAAAAGGAAGAAGTGGTCGAAGAAAAATCTGCGAAAGTCGAAGAATGTCCTCCTGATGATGCCCCCAAAGCGTCAGTGGTGCCGATTCCAACCAACGGTGTTCAACAAGAAGCTAAAACTCCTTCAACAGTCGTTCATTGAGCACTTTTTGAGCATTTCCACTATGATTCAGTAACACCTACAAGTATGTACAGTTATATATTTATGGACCTCATCCGTGTTTTACTGGTATTTATGTCCCTGTTCCGTTTTGAGATGCGCTTTTGGTACACTCCATATCTCGCAGTAGGGAAGGGGCGTGGCTGCGTATCTCATTTGAACATGGAGTGTGATGCGTTTTTTTCATGATATGTTTTCTTCGAACCATCTTGTGTTGGCAATTAGATGATTACAGTTGTCCCCGAAACGGTAATATCTCACCAAAGGGCAGACCCCTTCACGTTCCATGAAGTCCACGGCCACGCCCCCTCATGTCCGGGATATGAGGTGTGTGTAGCGAAGCTGGTGCTTGATCCTGTTTTGATCGTTCATTATGTTCAGTTACGTTCATTATATTTTCTGCCCCTTCCTTATATTATAGCATGTCTGACATGACTTCTGAAACTGTTAATTTGGAGAAATTGCAAAAATTTAATTGTTTCTTTGAAAGCTCTCATATGAAAAGATCCCGTGGAATTCCAGTTCAAACTGCACAACCTTACGGTACCGCTCTGAAACCTGGTTGTACTCCTTGTTGCTTCAGATCTGCGAAGTTGAAATAAACATTGAATATCGTATTGAAATTGTGTGAAGGGAATCGGTACGATGAAAGAGAATGTTCTCACAATGCCGCTATGCGCGTGCAAAAACTATTTCAATATCCGAAAATTAGCTAGACCACCTCTTCCCCAGGGTACGGAATCGTTGTGCGCGACCAACTACGGGGCCCGTATCGTCTCGAGGGAAACTTCCACAACGATCTTTTTCGGTTTCCATGGATTCTGTGTCTTCTCACCTGGGTAAGGCGGCAAATTTTTCAAATGAAAATGTTGCTCCATAAGAGTGGTGGATGGGTGATAGACATGTTGTTGGAAGAGAGTGTACGCGAAGAGAAACTATGCGTGGGAAAGGGGTTGTCCTGACACTGAGTCATCTTACTCATAACGCGGTGCTTGAGAGTGGTTCCTCGTTGGACTGGGAGCAGTTTTGATGGCCCAAGACCTCTGTCTTAAAACAAAGGGGTTCCGGGCGGGGGCCGTGGGACTTTCAAGAACTCAGTCGGCACACGCAAAATACCTTCTGTTCGCTCATTAACGGGCCCGTTATACGACTGCAACACTAATCGCTGAACTCAACGACAGGAAAGACCCGATCGGCGCAGTTCAGCGACGTGTGGAGGGGGGGTATTTTGCACTTTTGCTACTTCGCAACGACGTGTCGACCCATCTAGACAGCCTCCTTCTCCAGGAGAACTTTTACCTGGCATGGGTCTTTGACCGAGCTCGCTCCAGGCTTCAGTAAGCAGTTCAGCACGGTTTCAAAACAGAGTGCAGGCTGTGCGTAAACAGATAGTGAAGCACGCAAAGTGAAAATGGCCCGTCGTCGATCCTGCGCCCGATCCATCGCGATCGTTTCCAATGGATCAACTGCTTGGCAACACGTTCGTAGCCACCGGCACTACGCCTAACCAGGGCACCCTCGGACTTGGGGAATCTCAGGCTCCTCAACAAAAGGGGTCGTACGTGATCGAAGGGGAATGGGGCGAGGGGTCGTATTTGCTCATGAGGGGAATGTTTTCGAATGAGTTTTTGCCTTTCCCCCTTTTTACGCTATGAACATCAATAGCCCGAGAAAGGAGACAGGGGTTTGGAACAGCGGGAATAGACGGCCAAAACGGCCAGATGTACCAGAAAGCTGTTGCATGAACATAACCAGGAATCGGATCGTCATGTCGGTATACGGACAATGCAGCAGGGCCTTTATTGCAGCAGCGCCCTCATCTAAAGGCGTTTTCACCACCTTCCTTTCAGAAAGGCTCTGTTATGCTCTATGTTTCCCCAACAGATGACTCGTCCAACCGGGCGAGCCGCGTTTTCAAAATAAATGCCCTCTTCTTCTGCTCGGATTAGAACTTTCAGCTTAGTGGGGGGACCAAATGGTAATCAATGGAGCTTCATGTACAGGCCACTATGTGAAGACTTGTAGTTTCTTCTAGCCTAAATAGCTAATTTGTAGCATTTCGCAGCATCATGCGAGTGTGTAGGTCTCACCAAAATGAGACGGTTAAATAGTTGCGATGAATTCGCAAAAGAAAGTAGCGAATTGCAAAATGCCCCTCCCAAATCGAACATAGCCGTAAAGGAATCTGGTTACTGGAAACCAATCGAACGCCATTCATGATAATGACAACTTTCTGGCTCTATGAAGCCTAACTGCACGAACATCCACAGCCATTCCAGCGACGTACTCTGCTTCCGGTTAAAGGCTGAGCAAGGCCTGCCGTCTAGACAGCGCAATATCGGCTGAGAAGACAAGGTAGGACGAATTCCATTTTTGTTCGAGCCAAGATCCAATCGAATGTCGCTTCCGGCAATTGGTATGGGCTCAACAGGACCGCTGTGCTCCGCCCACAAGGCTTCCTGACGCACCATCCTCCGACTTTTTTCTTCTTCCGATCCCTCAGAAGGGATACACGGGAGAGGAGCTGCGATCCCTCTGAAAGGATACACGGGAGAGGAGCTTCGA